CTTCGCGCCACGGTAGGAGCAACCCCGAGAGGTAGAAAAGAAGCATCGTCCACCCGCCAAGGTAACCTAGTTCCCAGCTCGGCGCCCTGCTTTCTTCTTGTGCCCCACGGCAGGATTTTGCCTCACCGGGCGGCCAGGGAAGTGGGCTGATTTAGGCTGGTTTTTGCTTTAGTCTTGGATAATGGGAACCACTTGAGGCCTTACCTCTTGGGCCCCGCCTGTCTGCAGTAGCTGCCAGGTGGTTCTGGGTTTGAAGGCACACTAGCGCAGGTCAAAGTGAAGGGTAAGGAGGGGGACAGAAACACTTCTAGGCCTGCCCGATAAAGGGTGACTTCTCCAAGGATAGGAGAAAAAAAGGGCACTTTAGGAGAAAGGTGGCATCAACTGCTAGTCTCGTCGTGGAGTAGCGTTTTCTAGGGGGCTCTGGAAGGTGGCTGCTGAAACCGAAATCCTTGCCCTTGAGTAATTTGTATGAGATTAAGAAGATAAGTAGGTGTTTAAAAGTTTTTATAAGTGTGCCATAAATAATCATAATTTATACATTACATAAGTATAAAGTTACTATAAATTCATTGTGAAAGAAATCTGGGGAGTACAAAGAAGTGAAAGAAAAAAGTTAAAATCATCCATAGTCATACTACTCAGCAATCAAGTCTATTAACATTTTGGTACATTTTATCTCTGTTTCATTTCCTTCATATATGTATATATGTGACAAAATTGTGATCATGCTGTTTGATCAGTTTTGCAACCTGCTTTTTTCACCTCATGTTATATAAAAAACATTTCATGAGGTGGTCTTATTGTGAAAATTAATAAAGGCAAGCCCCACTCAAGTGGAGCTGGGAGGTTAGAAGGGGAGCCGTACCACCCCACGTAAATTACAGGAAGAGTCCTCCACAGACCCCAGCAGAAGCATCCTCAACAGGAAGAACCATCAAGCACAGTCCTCAACAGGGCAAGATGCCCAGGGCACCCCCTTCAAAAAATCAACTCCCACTGCAGCTCAGCCACTCATCTCCCCGAGCTCTCACTTTCCTCTGGTGGACTTTGTGGGAAGCGACCCCGCCCCACTTTCCTCCTTTCCTATAAAGTAAGGTTCCTCCTCTTTGTTGGATTTCCCTCTGGCTTGGCCGTAGCTTGTATGTCCTAAATTGCAATTTTCTGCTATTCCTGAATAAGCCCAATTTTGCTGGTAAAACAACACTTATTTTTAAGGTTAACTTGAGAAATACAGTTTTTAAAAGCTGCATATATGAATATATTCATAATTTTTAATCATTGTTTTATTGAATATTTAAGATGTTTCCAATGTTCAGCTTTTATATAATACTGTTACTTGAGTTCAAGTATTACTGATTATTTTGTTAGAATTGACTCCAAGAAAAAAGCAATTACTAGACCATAGAGTACACATATTTCTAAACCCTTTAATTCAGATTGCCAAATTGCATTATCTAAATTTTAATTGGCATTTCATTTCAGTGAATATCCTGTTACATGCCAGGAACTATGATTGCACAGGCACAGAGCTAAAGTCCCTGTCCCTAAAGAAACACCAGTCTGGCCACGTTTCCAGACATGTAGAAAGAATTAGCAATCAAGGATTAAATACAATAAGTAAGAAAACAAAAATGCCAAGAGAGTCCCATTCAAGAAAAGTATTTCCAGACAGAAGGTTGAGGATATCCACTGGCATGAAAGAAAGGACCTGGAATATTAGTTTATTAATGCAAAGTTTAATAAACTCCAGGTTGAATTTTTTTACTTGTGAATAGATGCACACTTGGAAGAAGGGATGGGTTGCAGGCAGAGGTACTGACTCTCCCTCATGGGTACTCCTAAACGCATGAGACCTTTGATTATCACCACTTGCTGACACTGGACATCATTGTCTCATGTGGGTAGAAGAGACTCCAGGCAAGCTCGGACCCAGATGGTTTAAGAAGTGGGGGACAAGGGGTGAGTGGGGGTGCCAGGGGCAAGGTGGGAGTACCCAGCAAACTCAGTGCTTGGAGAGTGGGAGGAAAGGCTGGAAGCTGCAGAATCCCATGCTTGAAGGAAGACCTCCAGCCTTGTGAGGTGTGAGGTCTGAGGCCTGGCAATTTGTGCACCTGGCCTGTTAGTGACATTTGACGCATCCCCTTCAGACACCTGAGGGTGTCTGCACTTGAGCAAGAGTGCACATGCCTTTTTCTCCTCATGTTGTCCTGGGAATGCTGGCTAGTGGCATGTGGAGCCTGTTTCTAGCTGAGACTGGAACACTGTTCTTTCAGGCTGCAAGCCTGTGGGTGAGTTGGGTGTAGACAAACAGTTGAAGTCTCAAAATTCTGTGTATGTGGCTACTGAAGACCTTTTCAACAAAAAAGAAAAAGGTTTAATAATGCAACACACACACGCAGAACTTGTTTTAAAGACCCTGATAATAGAGAGGAGAAATGTCAGCTTTCTGTAAATTGTTGACTCAGCAGTGAGCAGGTCTCATTGATGCCAGGTGTGATGGAGAAGAGACTCCAGCCAGTCCACCACCATTCCCTGCCTACCAGGTAGGGGCCCCCTGCTCTAGGACACTTGGCTTGGAGTCCGTCCCACATGCGCATCCCCAGGGCTGGCCAGAGTCTGAGTCTGTGCAGTAGGATAAGTGGAGGGGATGCCTAAACAGAACAGGATTACCGGCTCTTCCATGGGGTCACTCGGCGATGTCTGGAGGGTGTGTCAGTGACAAAGAGAGGCCAGGGCTGCTATAAACATCCTACAATGGATGGGACAGCCTCAACCAAAGAGAATGGTTTGACCCAGAATGTCGGCACTCCAGAGGGTGAGAAGCCTGGGGCCTGAGGCAATGCTGACTTCCAGAAGAAGCTACAACCCCAGCCCATCCTTCTTCCTGCCAAGGTGGGGTGGGTCTCTCCTCTAGTCTGGTCAGACTGAAGGGCCTTTTGCTGTCCACTATTAATGGGTGTCTGGGGCCTCATCCTTAGAAGTCAGGAAATGGAGGGCCTTGCCTGCTCCCTGACTTCCATGGCTCAGGATGGCCTCCCCAACACCCACTCCTCTGTGTTCTGGAGCAGGACCGAGAAAGCCAGGGTGAGGGGCTGCTGACGTTACCACTAGCAGGTGCGGTCTTGATCCCACCAGTAATGTCTGATGTGGTGCTTGGGTAGAAAGAGCCAAATTGGGACAATTGGCAGTGAACCAGCAGCTGCTTTTATGGGCCACCTTGAGTGGCAAGTCTCCAGGGTCTGTTAAGTAGCAGAGAACTGGTGAAGGCACACCCTTACACTTCCAGACCTAAGCCCAGGACCTTTCAGAGCTTACTTCCTCCAAAGGCTCTCTTGGCCACAGGCACCCCACTTCAGGCCTTCAGCATGCTGCCTGGCTGTGCACCAGGAACCCCAGTAGTGTGTGGTATACAACGTCCAAAATCCAGGTCAAAGTGGCTCAGTCTGGTGCTGCAAGGAGACCTATCAGTAGGTCATTGGTGGGTATCTCTTGGATCGGAATCACAGGTGATTTTTACTTACTCTTCATCTTCTGCATTTAAAAAACCTCTGCCATGAAACCCCACACACAAAAGTAAACTCAAAATGAAACAAACACCTGAATGTAAGTCATGCAACCATGAAACTCTTAGAAGAAAACATAGTCAAAAATCTCTTGAATGTAAACATAAGCAACTTTTTTCTGAACGCATCTCCTCAGTCAAGGGAAACAAAATAAAAAATGAATAAATGGGACTACATCATGCTAAAAAACCTCTGCACAGCAAAGGACATTATCAGCAGAACAAAAAGGCATCCTACAGTATGGGAGGATATATTCTTAAATGACATATCCGACAAGGGGTTAACATCCAAAATATATAAAGAACTCACACACCTCCACACCCAAAAAGCAAATAACCCTATTAAAAAATGGGCAGGGGACATGAACAGGCACTTCTCCAAAGAACAAATTCAGATGGCCAACAGACACGTGAAAAGATGCTCCACATTGCTAATTCTCAGGGAAATGAAAATTAAAACCACAATGAGATATCACCTCACACCAGTTAGAATGGCCAACATAGAAAAGACTAGGAACAACAAATGCTGGCGAGGCTGTGGAGAAAGGGGAACCCTCCTACACTGCTGGTGGGAATGTAAATTAGTTCAACCACTGTGGAAAGCAGTATAGAGGTTCCTCAAAAAACT